CCCAGCCTCGTACTTTTTCACATGCTTTGAAATACAGCTTCCAATAGCAGTGGCCGATGTGCTGGCTGGGACTGGTGGAAGCTGTAATCCAAAACATGTGAAAGGCATCAGGTTGCCAATTACAATTGGAAAACAAAACATACATTTAAATATCATTTGCATACACTGATTTATATGCATAGATGCACATTTTAAAAATTCCTAACTATAATTTAGATAGCAATACATGTTCGAAGGGGACGCGGGTGGCGCTGTGGGTAAAAGCCTCAGCGCCTAGGGCTTGCCGATCGGAAGGTCGGCGGTTCGAATCCCCGCGGCGGGGTGCGCTCCTGTCGTTCGGTCCCAGCGCCTGCCAACCTAGCAGTTCGAAAGCACCCCCGGGTGCAAGTAGATAAATAGGGACCGCTTACAAGCGGGAAGGTAAACGGCATTTCCGTGTGCGGCTCTGGCTCGCCAGAGCAGCGATGTCACGCTGGCCACGGGACCCGGAAGTGTCTCCGGACAGCGCTGGCCCACGGCCTATAGAGTGAGATGGGCGCACAACCCTAGAGTCTGGCAAGACTAGCCCGTACGGGCAGGGGTACCTTTACCTTACATGTTCGAAAAGGCTGTTCCCTGGGTGCCCTGCATGCCTGTTGTCTGGGTGCTCACTGTTAAGGAAGGGCTGTGGCTGAGCATCTGCTCTGCATATCAAAAGGTCTTGAGTTCAATGCCTGGAAGAATCATCTCCAGTGAGGACTGGGAAGGTTCCCTGCCTGAAAACCTGGACAGCCATTGCTGCCAGTCAGCATAGACAATACTGAACTAGATAAGCGAATGATCTGAAGCTTCCAGCTTCCTATGTCCCTAACTTCAACTGGACAGCCTTTCAAATGGGTTCAGCAGTGGACCTTTATCTTGGGCAGCCTTATCAAGAGTAGGCCAAGGCCAAGACGGTGAACAACAAGGCTCTAACTCGCTCACAAATACCTAGACAGATCTTTCAGGCGCCATCTGGCAAAAGATGCAACTTCACTTCCATGGAGCTTCCTAGATTCCAGGGAGAGTTTGGGGTGCTTTCCTAAATGTAACTGTTTCATGTGCCCTTTCATCAAAGTGGGAGCCTTAAAAACCTCTAAAGTGGTACCATTTGGCTCAGGTCAGCATCATAGTATCTCATGCAGGTGACTCTCAACTTATGATGGGGTTACATTTTGGGGAGAGCACCTAAAGCCAAAACTCATGTATAGTCAAAACACACTGAGTTCAATGGTGGGTGGGATTGTCAAAGTCTTCCCCGCCCCCGATGCCTGCCAGCTTTTGAGCCCCCTGTTTATTTCTTCATTTTAATTTGCCAAACACAAATGTGCTGAATGTGCACCAGTGAAATGTGCCTGAGTTGTGAGTTACCTGTAAACACTTTGTATAGTTCTTTCAAGTGCACAAAGTGCTTTGCAGGCACTATACAGCAACCCTATAAGGTAGATCAGTATTATTAACTCCCCAATATTGAAGAGAGTGACAGAGACTAAGCTGCAGTGGACTGCTAACCATTAGAACATAAGCAGGGACGCGGACTTATAAAAAATATTGGGGGGGCCCGGGAAAGCTCATGAATAATAAATAAGCTCATGAATATGCAAATAAAGTGGCTCCGGCCCTAAATAGGGCAAGCCACGCCCCCCCCAGCCAGCCGATTGGCTGGCTGGGAGGTGTGGCCAGTTGGGATTCCCCTGTTCTCGAGGGGGCTGAAACCGCCAGGAGGAAGGAAATTCCCCCCGGCAGTGCCTTGGCAGTGGCGGTGGTGCTGCGAAGCAGCGAGGCAGGAGCCCCCGCCCCCGGCGCCCGAGATTATTGGGGGGGCTGAGCCCCCCCAAAAATTTTTTTGAGGGGGCTCGAGCCCCCTCAAGCCCCATGGAGTCGGCGCCTATGAACATAAGAACCACCTGCTGGCTCAGGCCAATGGTTCATCCAGTCCAGCATTCTGTTCTCACAGTGGCCAACCAGATGCCTGTGGGAAACCAGCAAGTGGGACTGAGCACAAGTGCACTCTCCTGTCCGACAGTTTCTAGCCACTGGTATACAGATGCATACTGCCCAAGGCAGCCTAGTGAGTTTGTAGCAAAGCTGAGGTTCAACCAGATTACTTCCTTGGTTGCAGCCCAGTCCTTTCACCACAACGCCAAGCAACTCTCAGATTTGTTACCATAGCAGGAAATCACCAGCACTGACTCACTGGCAACAACCCCCAAAAGCCTGTGATAAGCAGTTCAATTGTGGGAGGCACAAGTGCAATTTACACACACACACACACACACACACGACAACCTGACTCAGCTTCCCTCTAATTTTGCAATACAAAAACAAGCAGGAAGTATTGCATGCATATTCACACGCAGAGGCATTGTGTCATCATCGGTAGGACACCCACTGTCCTCCTTAACTGGGTGGGGTGTGGGGGGAGAAGGTAAAGGGCAATCAAGTACATCCAAACAAGTAGTGATATCCTTCGATGTCCTGATGAAGAGTTCTGCGCAATTCAAAAGCTTGTAGAATCCTCCACTAAGTAGCACCATAGTATGGCACTCACTCGTTTTTAAGAAGTGCCTGGTCCTGCCAACTCTGACTGGCAGTGGTTTCCCAAGGTTCTTCCTAGCACTACAAGTTGGCAGTGCCTGCGATTGAAACTGGTACTTTCCACTTGCAAGCAGGTGCTTTTCTACTGAGCGCTGACTGCTCTTGTTCCAGGATCAATACAGCAACTCTTGCACCCTGCACTAAGATGCGCTAAAGACCATGTTAATGAACAAAAATGCCTATAAACAAAAAAGATACACCATTCTAGCAGGAAGTGGGCAGTTGTTATTTACATGCCTGGCTGCTAAACGTCCAGTGTTCTGCCATCAGCTATGCCAATTGTTGGTTTCCTTCAGGACTCTTGTGCCTTTTAACAGCCTTTACACTTCCACAGTTAACCACGAAAAGGTTTCCGATTCTGGAAAAATGTTTCAGAATGCCAGAGTCTCTGGTTTGTTGGAAGCCAATAAAATATTTTCTAAGCTCATGTCATTAGCTTCATTGTGATGATGAGCAATATGGGCATTTATACAACTTTCTCTGCTTCCCCCTCTGCCTTATCCAACTTAGCACTAAGAACGAAAATAAGTATGTCTCTCCCTCCCACTTTGTCTGCATTTTGAGACAAGTGTGCTAACTCCACTTTGCAGTTAAGATCAACTGCATTGGGTGTGTACCACATTCTTGCCAAGAACCTGAGTCAAGTTTAGCTTGCTTACCTGAGGCTTAAATCTGTCCCTTTAAAATCAGTTAATCACCACTGAAAAAGGGAGCCCTTTCCCTTTCACAGGAGCAAAGAATGGCCTTCCCAAGTCTAGATGTTTTGGACTACAACTCCCATCAACCCCAGACAGCACAGGGCAGCCAAAAACCTGCGTTGCACAACATTTGTGAACACTTTGCTCCACTCTCCCCACATTCAGTAATAGTGTTGCTATGATCTGAGTCTCTATAAGAATGGATTTTAGTAACTGGCAAGAAAGAACATGGGGAAGGGCAAGACTTTCAAAAGTCTCTCTTTTTTAAAGTCTTGACATTACTAGTAAGATCTGTTACTTAAAGGTTAGGCTGTCTTAAGCTTTATTTGATGAAATGCCAATAATAACAGCTGCATAAGCATGATGATGATTATTATTTCAGGGGTCTGGCCTTGCATTCAACCAGGGTAAGAGGACATAGAGATGAAGAGGTCAGGACATAGGATAGCGACCTGCAAAGCCAGCTCAAATTCAGGATTATTTCATGATCACCAGCCAAGGTCAACGGTCAAGAGCCAATCTTTTTCACAGCAGAACGGAAAATAAGACTCCAAGCCGATTCCATGTGAAACAAGGTAAATGATTCACAAAGGATTATTGACATGGCCCGCAGCCCGCCTCGTCATGCTAACGAAACTACGATAAGCAGAAAAGCAGGAAGCCCCTGATTGGGCTGCCAGGTAACCAGTCAAGAGCGATAGTCAAAGTTCAGATGAACAAACACAAGCAACACACCCAGCAGCTGCGGGTTGGAACAAGTCAGCGTCTCTCTACCATCAGGCTCCACCTTGAATCGCTGGAGGGGGAAAGGGCAGGTTTGAAGCTACCTGAACTTCTTGTTAACACTTTGGTGGCTCAAAATGTCTCCTCCTGTCTCTATAAACTACTTAGGTTTATACCAGAGGACTGAAGAGGAGTCTCCTCCAGTCCAGTCACAAGCAGACAACAGCAGTGCTTCGGATTAAGGGGCAAAAACCTGGCGCCATTAACTTGCCCCAAATATGAGAGCTTCAGAGCTTCTTAGGTGGCAATCTGCGCTCCCAGCTGGACACATACATATGCAGCTGAGCTGAGAGTATAGATTCACCAACTTTCTTCCATTTATCATTCATAAACTTGTACTTTTTGTGCTTTGCAGAATAGCCCTTTCATTATCTCTATCACCTTCAAAGGCAAGTTGTAAAATGGGTATATTTTACAGAAGAAAGAATAGCTTGCCCAGCAGTCAGTCAGTTTCCCCTTATGGAAGGAGGAAGTAGGTAATCATCCAGTGAATCTACAAGTGAGCCAAAGCCCAGGGCATATACTTTCTGTTATTATTTGTATTTACCTTATGGCTGCTACAGCCTGTTTTTTCTCACAGGATTGTTCACACTTATCGGTTGTGAGTCATCCTTCGCCAGAAGAATGAGCTGCAATAACATTAAGGAAACAGGGCACTTTCTTGTCCCTGGAAACTCCCAGACAGTGACATCACAGCAGGGGGCTTGGGCTCTGCTCTTTAGCATACTTAGCAGAATGATGAATCCAGCCCCCTAAATACATTACTGTGTTTTAAAGAAAGAGACTGGGCTACGCAGCAAATTTGACAAGGTTATTCTGTGATTATGGACAAGTAAAGGCAGAATGCCCTACCCACAAATGGAAATCTTAAAGAGAGAGGGAGTATTAAGAAATATCTCTTACCCTTGCCCAACACACGATATCTTTCCAAGTTAGACCTGGGCACATTGAAAGTGTAAGTCTGTTGACTGAAGCCTGGTTGACACGGGGCTGCCGTCTCCTCACAAAGCCACCTTCCAGCCTAGCATGCAGGAAAAATAAGGATGAATCAAGAGGCAGCAAAAACCACCTCCCTTGAGCTTCAAGGAAAGCAGCCACTTTTAAGCCTGCCTGATAGAACTTTTTTTGTGGTGAGTCGGGGAGAGCCCCCAAATCCTTCCACCTGTGATAGTTAAGCATTTTGCCCATGTCTCTTTCAAACTTTCTAACCAAGGCTACTCACATAACTCTTTAGTATCTATCTTGGTTGGGGCGGGGGGGGGTGTTTTTAGGGGCACCAATGATGGTCAAAGGGTCTCTTATGATACAAGAACAATGACAGGCAAGTTCATGAACAATTACATGGGGAAAGATCCTTTCATTTTTTCTCCAACGAAAGTAAAAGAGCATTCATTTAAATTGGCATAAAGGTGGTACCGATTCCTCACACCTTGATAACTCATCTATCGTGCTGCAAGGGGGGGGGAATCCTGGAACATTCTAACATATGTGGTGGACATAACCCTTAAAAAAGCGGTTCTGGGCAAAAGGTTTTTGTGAAATTACATTAAATACAGGACAAACTTTAGCACCAGCCCCCTTAATGGCTCTTTTATACATTTTCACTAAGAAGAAATCACAATAGGTTTCAAATCATGTCGATTTCACTTTCTGGTTTCTCTTCAAATCATATGAACCTTTCTGGCACGTACAGTGGTAGCAAGAAACTGGAAACAAGCGAATTGTAACCTGAAAGGAGACAAATCCGGACCATTGTCTTGACTGACAACTAAGTCAAATAAACCTTCCACAACCAAAAATATAGTTTTCAGAAGAAGGTGGATTGTTTTATAATTGATGTGGTCCAAAAGGAACATGACTGCAGCCCACCACTGATTCCTACTTCCTTCTGGAAAGTTATTTTGGTATAACATATAATAATATCTTTATTGTACAACAAATTCAGAGAAGGACGATGTTTGAAACTGTGACCTTTATTTCAAACTGTGGGATGCAACACTGCAAGCTTATGTTATCTCTCCACAAAACTTCCCCGCCCGTCGCCCGTTTACTACATTATTATTATTATTATTATTATTATTATTATTATTATTATTATTATTATTATTATTTGCTATCTATACATATATCTGTACACTACACTTAACCCAAAAGTTTTAACAGAAATAGTTTGAAGAAAGGAGAAAGGCTCCCTCCCTGAGAGCAGGGTGGGCTTCAGCGGCAGCGGGGAGGCTGGACCTCTCGCCGAGCAGCGCCCCGTGAGGCCCCTCTTACCTGTAAGAGCAGCAGGAATAAGCAAAGCCCCGACGGGCGTCCCGGCAGTGGCGGCAGCATTGCCATCGTGCAAGCGCAAGCGTCGAGCGCTAGGCAGTTTCTGGCCCTCGGCGCGCACTGGGCTCAGACAGGTGCGATGCCCCGCCCTAAAACGAGGCTCCGCCCCATGTGTGAGAGGGGCGGGGCTCCACGCTAGCGTCACTCTTTTCCTCAGGCCAAGGCAGAGCCCCCTTGAACCCGAAGTGGGGGAGGAGGAGAAGGACGTGCCAGAGTGTTTCTCTGCTCCTTGCAAGGAGAAAAGTAGCGGCGTAGCGAGAACCCTTCCTCTGCAACTGCGAGACTAGCTTTCTGCTTACAGGCAGTCTTGCCTTTTCCTCCTGAATGGGGAAAGCCCCTCTGCCGTGCTTCACGTGTAGAACCAGCCTGAAGGAGGCGGGGGGCTGTGGTGGCTTTCTGCCCGAACCCCTTGGAAGGCGCGGCCGGGCTCACTGGCGCCTCCCTTCGGCACCAGCACGTCCTGAAGCTGTACTCCTCGTGGATTCGCTCGGAGTGGGCCTCCCGGGGTAGCGGCACTAATCCGAATTAAGCACCCGTATCTGAGTAGCACCCCAAATCTCGCAGGATGGGCTGTGCCGCATTGAAGTTCACCTTCCTGCTCCCATGTTTCCCATCCGGAAGCCCCTCATACCGGTTGCTTCCCCCTCTTTCAGCTCCGCCGGGAGAAAAGGGTGGTGAGAGCGATTTTCTCTCGAGGAGGCTCTGTGGGGCGCTCGCCACGTCTGAGACTAGACAGCAGGGCTACATTTGTAACAGGGCTCAGCCTGGGCTCCTATTGCCAAGGACAGGGCAAATGGGGCACTGCCCACCGACCTCATTCTATCCTCAGCCACCCCCGCCTGTCTGCCTACCTTTCTCACTTACAAACTGGTCCAGGGGGCGGCACCCACGGCCAGTTGCCGCCTCCACCCCAGTCCTGCCCTTTCAGAATTCAGGAAGAGAGGAGGCGGCGGCAGAGGCGGGCAAAATTAAGTGAGTTATTAGCCCTGCCTGTCATGGGCTCCAGATGCACTTGATGTTGGGCAGCATCAGATTTAGGGCAGTGTGGGTGGCTTCGCTGCACAGGGCGCTGAGCCAAGGGAGCACAACATTGAAAAGATCCATAGTTGAGAAGATACATTTGGGGGCACCAAATTTGGGGCTCCCTCAGGGTGCCATATTGCCAACAATTACCAAAGGCTGCCCCTGTTTTGGGTTCCCTGCCTTCTGCTTCACGAGTCCCAATGGTTTACTCTCTAGGAAGTGTGTTTAGCATTGCATATTTAAACATAGTCTAGCTCAGTATTGTTCAGTGACTGGCAACAACCCTCCAAGAAATCAAGCAGGGGACGTTCTGAGCTCTATCTGGAGATGCTGGAGGGATTTCTGCATGCAAAGCAGCAGCTCTACCACTAAGCTCTGCCCCTCTCTTCAACACATTGCTATGACGGGTACAGGCCACACTGTTTGTAATTGTCCCAATAAATATGTCCTTGGGGGAAGCATTTCTGGTGGATGCTTTCAGCCTATAGAGCTCTCTTTGCCCCAGAGGAAATCTGAGTGTCTTTGGAAAGAATCGTGACACCTTTTTATCTAGGAAATAAATTATAGCTAGGGATAATGGATCCTTTCAAGATCAGGCTTCGTTATTTACATTTTATCCTACTCTTCATTCTCCTCCTGCAAAAACAAAGGTGGTTTAACTAATTTCAGTGAGAAGACAGTTCCTATGCTAAGCATTATGATCTAAGAGGCATGATACAAAAGGAAAAAAGGACTAGAGGAGGAAGAAAGAAAACACAAGCATTCTTTCTTTGTTAAAAAGTTCTTGCAATGAGGGAGAGGCACTACTGTCTCATCCCATCTTTGTCCCATTCCTGACAGAATGGCCACTGCTGATGACAGTTGAAGGAAAAGCCCAATGGAGTTGGGCTTTAGCTGAGCAAATTTTAACATTCCTAAAATTGCTTTTGGGTTACACGTTTTCTGAATATTAGCATGACTGGGACAGGTGAGGCTTCAAATACACCTGCACACAGCACTTGCCCTATGCTGCCACCTGCTGAGGAGAGGGATCCACAAAAGCTACAATAGCCTTGGGTACAAGTCTCCAAGGCTGTGTTGTAAGGGGCGGGACTTCCTCATCTCTGTGGGGGCTCCCGACTATGCCAGGCTGATTGGATAAACCCTTTTGCTGCCACAGTCAAAGTCTGCCTCATGGACAGCCCAGCTGCACAAGTAAACTAAGTGGTATTAGGCACATCTGTGCCACCTTGACGTCCTTGGAGGAAAGGTGGGATATAAACGCAATAACAAATAAATACAGTGAGGAGAACCATGGAGGGTAAGCCCAAAGGGCCCCACAAGGTTCTGCCCTAACCAAATTAACCTGACAGGTTGAAATCCAGAGCCTCAGGGAGAAAGGCAGTCTCTGCAGTGCAACCTCCTTCCCAGAAGGAGTGCTCTGAGTTCAGGGTTTGAGCCCACCATTCCCCTTATCCCAGCTGATTATACATTCTATGGCTGCTAAGGAGCCTCACTCAGTGCTACTATTTTTTATTTTTACTGATACTTCTGCAAACCTGAGACTCCTGGCCAACCCCCCCCCCATGCATGTCAATATTACCTTCCTGTTTTTGGAGTTCACTATTAGAAAAGAGTCGCCTCCTTGGAGGTTGCATTTGCCCAGGGCCACCAATAGCTAACTGCCTGCCCACCCATTTTTGCTTGTCAGCCCAGCAGCATCCCCTGTCATTTGGCTCTGCCCTCAGCCTGGCAGTCACCCATAAACAGATTAAAAGAGAAAGGAGGGGGGGATTCATTGAAGAAGGAAGAACCTGCCAGGTGAGAATAGGGACTGGGGATTGGCAGCAGGCCCATGTGCCCTGAAGCAAGCAAGGCTAGAGAAGAGGCAAAGCAAAATGGGAGGGGGTGGGCAAGGTCTTTTCATCCTAGCTAATATGCTGCCCCACCCACTCCCCCAAAGGGACTGCTAGATTCAGCCAATTCCCTCTTCTGCTGAGCTTCCAGAGGCGGTTGTTTCTTGGAATTTACCCCCTTGAGTTGCAGCCAATATGGCCAATGATTAGGAATTATGAGAGCTGTATTTCAACAACTGGGAGAAAAGCAATGATGGGAGAAAAGCAATGACAAACCTACACGTATATTGGTATCTTCGCGTGTAAGAACTTTTTTCTCTTTAGTTAATATGCTGGGACTGGAAACCTGGGAATGCTGATTTATATGAGAGACTAAATTGCTGGTGAAATTTGACGCCGACAGACTTCTAGAAATAACACCAGCTCATAGAGACCTGAGGACATCCAGTGGCAGAATGGTGACTATCTGATCTTCGAACGTTTTCTGCCCCTGCTCCGCCTCCCTTTTCCTATTCCCTCCCCCATCTGCGCCCTCTCCCATCTAGCTTCCCGCTAATTCCCCTGTCCACTAATTCCTCTGGTACACCTGCCCAGTAATATGGACTAGTTGGACTGGAGGCGTGAAGAATCCTCCGAGGTTGGAGTATCCCGAGTGGAGGAAGGAGGAAGTTGCAGCAAAAACCTTATACTGACTTTTTGAAAACATATATATATATAAGGGACTGGTAACCCTGATTAGAATAATAACGACGGAAAGTGGGTATAAGGAAAGTAGATTAAACGGGATACAGAAAGTATTAGAAATAACCACGGTGGGAAAGAAATTGTCTGGACGTGGGGAAATATAAGAGAGTAGGATGTCACATACAGGAAAGAAAGGAACGAATGGAGGAACCCCTGGCGATAGGAGGGGCTCCAAACAAGAGGCAGACTTTAAGACAGAGATTTTGAAGATGTTTGCGGAAATTAAACAGAGTCAAAATAATTTAGAACATAAATTAGAGCAGGTTGATAACAAGATTGGGAAAATGGATAAAAAGATGGACGAAACCGTTAATGAAATCAAAGGCCAAATAAAGGAAGTATTTAGGAGAACGCAGCTGACAGAGGAAGGATTAAAAAGGACAAGGTTGGAATTAAAGGATATGAAAAGGGATAAAGAAAGGATCAAAGTAGAAGTGATGGATTTAAATAAGGCACAGGAAGAGATGAAGGACATTATAGCGATGAATGAATTGAGGCAGAAGGAGGTGAATCTGAGACTTAGAGCGGTCCCAGAGATTCAAAACGAAAATATTAAGGAGAAACTGATAATAGAGCTAGCGGAATGGATGGGTATATCAGCTGAGGAAATGGCCAAAAATGTACAGAACGCATTTAGAATGCGGGTTAAAACAACTAGAGTAAAGAAATTTACAGGCGATTGCCTGATTACATTTAAAGATAAGGAAATGAGGAACAGGATTCTTCAAAGGAATAGAGAAAAGAGGCTGAATATAGGTGGAAATTACATAGTTATCTTTAAAGATATCCCAATCAGATTACTTAAACGAAGAGACTCTTACAAACGATTGGCGCAGACATTGAAGAAAAATAAAATCGAATTTAGATGGGAATTCCCGGAGGGGTTATCGTTCACGTATAGAGGTAAGAGGCATAGGCTATCAAGCCAGGAAGAAACCGGGAAATTTCTGAGGAAATATAAGGAATTGAAAGTAGAGGCAAATGGGGCAGAGGGAGCAGAGGGAGGACTACCAGAAGAACCAGGAAAAGAGGAGGGGGAGGAAGGAGGGGAGGGCGGATCGGACGAAGAAGTAGAGGAGGAAGAAGAAGAAGAACCAGCGAATTTATAAAGAAAAGGAAAACATAGGTGAGGGTAAGGCACTATGGGGTTAAAAATTTGGAACTGGAACATCAATGGGATGAACGAGAAAAAAAAGAGGAACAAAATTGAACAATCCTTGAAAAAGAAAAATTTGGACATTATCTGTCTACAAGAAACGCATATAGCCAGAAGGCACAAAAAAGTGTTAATTAATAAAAGATTGGGAAACGAATTTGAATCCTCAGATAAGGGAAAGAAAAGAGGGGTGGTATTGTACATCAAAAATAAGATTGAAGCCAAAACAGTATTTAAAGACGAAGAGGGGAGGATGATAGGGGTCCGTCTAAATTGGCAAGGAGAAAATCTAGTGGTAGTTGGGGTATATGCCCCAAATGGTAACAAGACTGATTTCTTCAAAAACCTAGAAGAGAAGCTACTAGAATATGTGGATCAAAAGATT